CTGTGGAAAGACAAATTAGTATATTAGTGTGAAAATACGTACTTTAAGACAACAAAAATTAGGAAACTCTTATCCTCTTTTTTTCAGAAAGAATTATTTATTATGGAATTTTACAACGAACTCTGATTGCTTACAGTTGTTTATAAAAGTCGAATTTATTTTTCTTCATGCTTTTTATTTTTTCACTTCTAAGCCTTAACAGAATTCCATTTGTCACTTTCATTTTCATTAATGTACTTTCATTTTCTCTAACGTACTTTCATTTTGTTTAAAGTTGATTCAAAGTTGCATTTTCAGTTTCTCACATAAATATTGAAAAAAAAATTGACCTGAAAGTACCTCCTAAGACTCATCTACTCTTTTCTGCTCTCCTTAAATTATACATAGCATACACTAGACAATAGCTAGATCTAATTCTGATCTACTTTGTCAGTTTAAGTTAAAGCCTAAGGGAAAACCATCCGTTTGTCTTGCACACAGTTAGTATGTAAGTCCATTCAACCAAAGCTGAATTTGTTTTCCAAGACTTTCCCATTGGAGCACAGGTCCACTGTCATCTTATTGAAACCAAGGAAAGCTGTCTTTTTTCTGTCCATGGATAAGTGATGGGTCCTAAGTGGACACCTAGAAGTTCTCCTGCTTTTAGGAGTATTAACCATCAGGTGTATTTTATGTTTTTAGAATGTTCACAGGGAAGTCATGCTTAGGGAAGAACTGAGCAGTGGGGTTTTAGTGTTTTGTATGTGTGTCTGTTTATTTTTGACCTTTCACATGCTATTTATTCTGTCATCCTATTTCACTTTTGTTAAATGTGCAGAAAGTGGTCTCAGAGCTCAGAGATCTCTTTACAGTTAGGCAGGTGTGTTAGGAGAGGAAAGTTGAATGATTTCTGATGTAAAATAACAATCAATTTGGGCATATGGCACTTTGAGATATGTGTACAATAATCTCAGAGATGCCTGGATTGCTTAAGCATGTTATTCACTTGTTGCTCTTTACTGTCTGATACATGGGACACAGGCAAAATAAATGCATTATTTGCACAAAATAAATGCCTTTTATTAAGAATGTTTGATAGCTCTGGTGCCGTTCATGCTCAGAATGTGTTATTTTAGAGTGCATGTTTGTATGCAAGGGATTATTGTTGCATTTTATCATCTTATGGCTAGAATATGTGGAAAATGTTTTTCTGCAATATCACTACATCATATAAAACACACATGGTAATTCTAAATGTAGTAAAGTGTCCATGACATGATGTTAATCATCAGTCTTTGGCCCACCAGTTGTTTTCACTCATGTAAGAAGTAACCAGACCCAAACTGACTTTGAAAGGTGATCCATTTCTATCTTAAAATGGATGTAAATGGAATCTTTCTCATGCCTTTCAGTCCCAAGTGGGTCTTTTTTTTTTTCCCTGCTGCTCCCTACAAGCGTGTTCTTGTTTTGTATTTCAGAACCTGGATTTTCATTTAGCAATTAATGTGGGTGATTCAAGTTACTCCTTCTGTATTTTATTAATTTTTGCCAAATATAGTATTTTTCAGCCTACTATTGATTGAGCAGAATGGGGCTTGCCTACACAAAATTTCTTAGGAAATACAATTTGCACATCCAGATTTTAACTACACCCACTCTCCCCATTATTGCAAGGTGTTAATCTAGTTGTATGATGCTGCCTGCACAGATGCATACCCTCTTTAAAAATAGGTTATGTGCCTAAATCCTTTAGAGAGCTTGAATACTGAATTTTTCTAGGTCCTGGTGCTCACCGAATATTTAGCTCTTGTGGTTACTGTAACAGTTTTTGTGAAGGTTTTTCCATGCTTTTGAAAGGTGCTTTTACTAATTAGTTGAATCCTAAAGTGCAGCTGAGTTCTTTTGCAGTAAAAGCAACTACTAATTTTAAAAGTAATTTTAAATTTACACATATCCATTTTAACAGTACTTTTGACTTGAGTACTTCTTTTCCAGAAATCTACCCTGGAGAAAATGTTTTTAATCAGGTTAAAATGGAGGCAAGATAGAAAAAAAAAAAAAAGTTTGCTGTGGCTTGACTGCAGCAGTGCTAATGAGCTCTGCTCTAATACATGGAGGAACATATGGCCCCCATCTGAATGCAAACTGGACACAAAGCAGTAATTCAGCTGAGATGTCCTGAATATTGTAAACTGGGTGAATGTGGTTGAAGGTGTTTATAAACGGTGGCTGAATCCCACACACTGACTCACTGCCTTCTAATGTCCGGGGCTCAAGGTGCTGTTTGTAAGAGTATAGAAAATGACCAGAGGAGGGAATTCTTAATTAATGCTAACAAAATAGCTAACTGAAGTGTTATGTTATGAAGAAAAGACTTCTTGTGCTCATGACGCAGCAAGAGACGGATTATGGAGAGGGCGAGTTAGGAGAAGAAAAATCACAGGACAAGCAAATTGAGTATTTACTGGCAAATAATTGCTCTCTTAAGCTGTGGCTCTCTTCCTAAATTCTTGGCATTCCTGAGCGCTAGAACTGTATTTTTAAAAATGCATCGTTACAGGGTAGATGCAAAAAAACCCTCAAAGGCTGATATTACAGGCTTGTGCAGGTAAGACTGTGTTACTGCCTATATTTCTTCTGAAGCTTTAGACTGACTGTTGCTTATGGATAGAATACTGCTTTTTTTTGTTGTTTGTTTCCAAGGAACTGATATTTTGGTTTCACTGCTATATTCTGTCTGAAAGTTAGGGAAATTGAGATAGTCCTCTAGATTGTAGTGCATGCGTTTGTGTCAGCTCAGATATGCCGATGTACATGAAAACAAAACAAGCTTTTAGGAGTCCAATTTTATTTAGTTTAATTGGGGTCTGGCTTTTCTAGAAGTGCCTCTACTTAAAAAAATCTATACAGCAATTAAGTGTGGGCAGAAACATGCCTCTGTGTGCTTGCATTTTGATACGGTTTGATTTCCACAAAGGAGGGCTTGGGAGACTGTAGAGGGACAGAACTTTTCCAAAATACCTCTCTGAGTCTGCCCACATCCATATATATCCCCTAGGTGCAGCTCCCCAAGGAAATGAGATTTCTGGAAACCCCTCTGTTTGCATACCTGTCTCCAATTCCTTTAATCTTTTGAGTATAGCCACTTTTAGCCAACTTTGATGGGTAAAAGTGTCCAAGATACCAAAGCTTCCACATGTTTCGTGGAAGTGGGCAGCTCTTTAAAGGAGAAAAACTCTTTTAATTACACCACTGAGGGAAAGGCTACCTCACCATTTTACCCAAATTTATGCGTCACAGACCCCACATGGACAGAAATCCAGAAGACAGCAGATACTTTTGGCTACCTGTGAATTGGCTCAGCTTCATGGAGAATTTGATTTTTTTTGTTTATTCCATGTGTAAATTTCATTTTTTAGTACTGAAAAGATCTGTTAGCCTGTGGAGATCTGTAGACGGTTAGGAATATCTCTGTCTTACATGGTTCTTTTTCACATCTTAATCACCAAATAACAAAACAGTATCATTAGCATTTTTTGTCTACAAACTGTTCTTCCTTTCTGCCCCCACTTCATGATGCACATTAAAAGGAATGGCCAAAACTATCTCACTTTCCACAAGTAAATAAAAATAGTACCCACGAAGAGCAGAAATGTATTTTTTTTTACAGAGATGTGATCTTAGTTGTGCCAGCCCTATGCTACGGGGTATCCCAGCTGAACACTTGACTGATGAGCTCTCAGCCTCACCACGCTGTAAGCATTACAGAACCCAATATCTGGTCCCTCAAGAACAAATTGCTAAGTTCCTGGTGAGGAGTAACAGTGATTTAACCTTTCCCACGGGGGTGGTTTCTCCTTAGCTTGCATCAAACTGAAGTTGGCTTATGTCTTTAAACACAGTTTTCAGTCCTCATACTTTATTGTACACAATTGTAGATATTCTGTTTGTTGACTACTATGCCAGTTATTTCTGTAATTATGTTTATAATTTTTGTAATGGTTCTCTATTATTGTTATTATGGCAATAATCAGTTCTTTTTAAACTCTCAAAACCTCTTGGCCCTTGTGATGTCTTGGTGCAGAGTCCTGCAAGTTAATTATATATTATGTGGATAAAAAATAATAATCCTTTTATTGGTTTTAATGTTCTATCTTTTAGTTTTAATGTCTGTTTCCTCTTTTCTTGATTGGTCAGACTTACTTTCTTTTCTCTGTGCAGTTATATTTATATCACATCTCCTCTGTTCAGTCTTTTTCATTTTCTCTGCCAGTTCGAAGCTATCTAAACTTTTTGCATATGGAAAGCTCTTGGGGATTTTAATGAGTCTTTTTACTCTGAACCCTTTTTGTTTCTTTTACATCATATTAGAGGAAAGGTGATCAGGGTTGACAGCAAAATCCGGAGGGATGGCATAACACTAACTTACGTATCAGCATTTATAGTATTCTTCAAAGAATTTCCTTTGGAGTCTGTATGAGGTGCTGAGTGATCCCCAAAATTTCTGTTTCCTATGTCTGAGATGAGTGCTGTGAACTGATCATATGTTACAAGATGAAAGCAAGGCGAGTTATTTCTTTATCTTGGATATTAGGAAAGGTTAACTACAGAATCCTGTGAAAAGTTTTTTAAAGTCAAAAGAGAGATCTGTGGAGAAGGATCATTGTACCTTGTGTATTGTAAACTGGAAGGATTCCACAAGATGGTGATGGCTGACATCTAAAGGAAGTACAGCTTGTTCTGTGGCTTCTAGACCATCTGCAACTGACGTGGAAGAGATGAGAGGATGCCAAACAATAGCACAATTGTGATATAGTGGAAGTATGAATCAGGCATTGGTCTACCCTTCCTGGAAAACACAGTCAAAGCCTGGGACTGTTCCTAGGAAGGCGCGCAGAGTCTTCATTTGTTTGAAAGAGATAAATTTTATGCACCAATTCAAGACCAGTGATCACATTAAAATATCTGGATCAAGCTTTTTCCAGGTTGGATTCTCAAATTTTATCTTTTTATTTCTGCAGATATATAGAGGCATGTTATAGAAATATGTATTAAGAAGTCCCTGGGTCCTAGGAGAACGTATCAAGTTGACTCTGGCTTGAAGCAAGTGAGTTTTATTCCTATTCCTTTCACTTCACTCACCTCTTTTCCATTCTTTTCTTGCCACCTCCTGTCTTTCACCTGATTTTTCTTTTCCTTATTAAAAATTCTGACTGACCTGGTACATTTTAATATGATATAGATGGTCATATTTGTCATGAAGGTGATAAAGCATACTTCAGTGCCTTCTCACTTATCCAAGAGATAACATGGGTTTCAAAAAGCAGGTGACTAACTAGAGAGCCCTGAGATATCACAGAGCTAACAGGTGCAGCTACCAATTCAGCTTCTGCAGTGCAAAGAATTTGTATTTCCCATAAAAATCAGGAGAAAAAAAAAAAAAGAGAGAAACAGTGAAAGAGTGAACTCAAAGAGTCCAAATACATACATTTTGAAATTGTATTTATGGTAGATGATGCAGGGAAAGCATTTGTATGCCAAAAATAGCAATCCATTGCTAAGAGGGTAAGTTTCATGGCTAAAGCAGAGTGCTGAAAGGTAAAGACGGCACTGAATTCTTGTGGTCATTGACCTGCTGAGTAATTTGCACAACATTCCTAAGGTCTGTTTCCCACACCAAAGCAAAACTTTGTATAGGAAAAGATGAAAAAGGAAAGGTGTATTACTGCTGAAATGCTGAATACTGAAGTGGCTCAAAATGTGTTTCCAAAACGTGTTTAATGCATCAAGCAAAACAACACGTGTAGGTCATTAGGAAAAATCACACCACTACCAATACCTCTTTCTAGTCATCTTTCCCTCTTCTTACAGGTTTAATATGAGAGAGCCAGCCTACCAGTGGTTAAGGAGCTATGCCCACACTTTTTCAGTTCTGTATATTTTGACAGTAGTGGGCTTCTCTGAGCTATTGATAACTTCACATGCATTTTATTTGCGTTTTTGTTCATACTACCATAAATCCCAATTTAGAATGACAATGGCTAAGGAATCTAAATACAGCATTACTAATAATATCATTAATAAAATTTTGTGATTTTAAGCTTGAGTTGTCCATCTGAAATCTGTGGTATGTGCTTACTGAATCAGTGCCGTAGTGCAGGACTGGGAGTCCTTCATTGTCACAGGTGACTTTAAACGCACTCAATCTTGGAATACCAGAGGACTTTGAAGTGGTGTTGCCTTTCCCTAAAAATCAGTAGAGTTATCCTTGCAAAAGCAAGCAGTTTGTACAAGGTGATAAAATGATTGTTACATTGCTGGTGGAGGAAAAGATAAAGATCCGAACTACTAACTTTCAGATATGATTACTAGAAAATAAGGTCTTTTAATTCATGGCAAAAATAAGGTGTTGGAAACCAAGAGGATAACTATTCAGAATTTTAGCTAGTAAAGAAAAATTAGGGTAGGGCAAATAATGAGCACGATCCTTACTGCCCAGCCATCGAAGTCTTTTAAATTTTAGGTTGTAATGAAAGTGTTTCTGTATTTGGTCTATTAGGAAAAAAAAAATCACAGTAATTCCAGTCACATTTTTAAAAGCAATGAATACAGGTATGAGAAGGTATTCTAGATAAATTATCCGATACAGAAGTTTTTCTTAGAGTTACAAAATCTGTTATGTCATATTCACAGTTTTTCCATAAAAAGGTTTTTCCATTAGTCATCAGGTTGGAACAACATTTATAAAACTTGGAAAAACAAGTCATAATACCTATAAAACATTTTGAAAAGTTAAAATGAAAACTTTCCGAGCAGTTGATAGAAAAGAAAGTAATGGGGAGCTTTTTTCTGCTTTTGTGTAAAAGGTGGGAGTGTTGACTGGAGAATACTATAGCCAACTGCAAATATATGAAACTGTTAGAGAAAAGATTTCTCTCCTGTTCCTATTTTCAGACAAATTACCTTCGTGGTCCTGGTCCTTTCGTTCCACACAATTATCGACTGAGCTGAAGGAGATCTCCCTATAGCTGTGAGTAGTAATGAGGCTTTAGCATTTCTTTGCACATTGTTGCTAGAGAGTGACCCCGCTCTCTAGAAGGCTCACCTTTTCATTACAAAGGTGTTACTTCTTTTCTGCATATTTAAAGCACTGCTTGTGTTACTATGCAGTCCCTTCACTGTGGAGTAACAGAAAATTCAAGCTGACATAAGTTCGAACAAGTTTCTTTAACCTTGGAAGTGAAAGGTGGCCAGTAACAGGCGGGAGCTTTGAAAGATAGCAGAAGAATGGATTCATTTTGGATTGTACTCAGAATGTTGTATAAATGGTCCAAGAAACTCAGAGAGATGCCACAAGCACCCTATTAGGGAGATACCAGTGACAGAATGAGAGCTGCTGTCCAAAACTGCTTGAGTTTTGACAGCATTACGTGATGACATCTGAGATGTATGTAGATGCCAGGCAGTGATAGTGTCCTTTGATGAAGTCATTTATTCATTTGACACTGAATTTTCCCCTTGTACCAGTGCATGTACTCTCCTGTGAGACAGAATTGATGTGATCTCATGAAATTCCAAGAAAAGCAGAAATCGGGTAGACAAAATGGATGCTACTACCAAGGAAACTCTACTCAGTACTCTTAGAAGTAAAGGATATGGTGATGAATCACAGTCCTCTCAACACAGCACTTCAAGGGATAAATGGTGACTGGGCACGACTCACAGCTCTAAGTGCTATGAGGAGGTGATATCATGTGGCATATTTACCTGGGATTTTTGTGCTGGCAGAGAGTCGGGGAAGGAAATCTTTTTATGATCAAGCAGTATATCTCAAAGCAGCATTGGTTTTATGAATGTGAGTGATAGACAGTGCTGAATCGGAGTTCAGCTGAATTCTAAACCAAGTGATTGCGATGAGGCAAATTATAGGGGAATTTATGCAAGGATCTCTGCTGCTATAGCTCAGATGATGGGTCTGTGCTGTTTTTGCTCACTCTTTTCCAAGTTTATTTTGTACTATAAATCATTCCTGTAATTGTGTTCTTTGTTGTTTCTCTCCTGACATGTTAAATCCCACAACACAGTCTAGTCTTGATGTTTTCCCTCTCTTTCAAAGAGTCCCGAGAGAGAGAAGCAGGGAAGGTAGATGTATTTGACTTTGGAAAATGAGTTGATGCCAGTTGCAAAGGAAATAAAATATATCATAGGGGTCTGCTAAGGGGAGGGGAGTGAAAACATTTCTTGTTTGTGACAAAAGATTGCCTTGAAGATTGCTTCAGCTTGATCAGTCTGAAGTCCATGTCTCACTGTTTCCATTACAAAGGCTTTAATGTTCCTGTTTCTTTTGGAAAGGGACTTCATCTATTTTGAAATAAGTCCAAGGCTCCCCAAATGTACTGTTTGCTTTTGGGCTCAAAACATGAGACCAATGCATTGGCGTCTCATTCTAGAGGGGCTAGAAAATTAAGTAATGGGCCAGGATAGCCAAGGAGTCAGCATGTGAGCAGCTCCATGGCAGCTGAAGATCATAGAATCCACAGCCTTATGCTGATACAGTGAGCACTACTTCTGCAAGGACTTCGAGTATGAAGATATTTGAGCACAGAACAGGGCCATGGCTTTCTCATGCTCTGGGCAATAGATGCAAGCAATATGCTTAGCAGACAGGAGAACAAGCTGTCAAGCTATGCCTGGCACAAGGACCACAGGATGGGAGCGGAACTGAAGCACTCTGCTGTGCAGGGAGTCTGTACTGCAGTGGGTCACTGCAGGGCTGTAATTAGATAAGGAAATCTCAGCCAGAATGAGTGAAATCTGGTAGATCTTTGTTTGACATACAATTTGTCTGGTTTGCACGTAGGAGGCTGAACTTCAGGACCTGCATTATGAGGGCAGAGTACTATTCATATGGTACCTTCTTGGTGTCAAGCCTGTAAGCTGATGCAATTCATTCCTTCAGAGGATCCCAGTCAGGATTTGTTCAGTGGGATTGATCATTACAGAGCTGTAGTACATTAATTCAAGTCCTTAGCAAACAGTGGCTCAGTATCCTCCCCAAGCTTCCCACGGCTTCCTGTTGTGAGAACATAGCTTTCTGCTGTTTTTTTCCTTTATCTGCTCCTGAGATGTCCCTAATCTCTTCCGAGCATCAGCCCCCATTTTTCTGTTTGCAGCAGAGAACTTTTTCAGTACACATGTGGAGCTCATTCCTAACCTGTTGTTTTCATAGTAGCAGTTTAACCTGGTGTTTATAAAATACAGTTCCATAGTTCCATCCTGATACATACATACAGAGGAAGAAAACAAAAGCACTTTCTGGAAAGAGATGCTGTGATCTCTAACTCAGTGGCAGCCATCCCTCATAGTGTGTGATATGTTTTAAAGTTTAAGGTCTTTTTTTTTTTTTTTTTTTTTTTTTTTCTTACTTTTTTAGTGTGTTTAACTATTAGCATCAACAGTGGATACATTTAGCTCTGGCTTTTTTCTTTACAAATCCTACAACCTTTTTGGAAATTCCATTCCTCCTCCACTCAGCTCTTAAATTTTTGTTTGTTTGTTTGTTTGTTTTTAAAAAAAGTGAAAGCAACTCTCATGTAAGATGAGCACAAGTGAGCTGCCAGGAGGTAAATTCTCTGTGCTGTAAGCAGGCTTCTATTTTACATGGGATAGCCACTGTGGAATGCGACAACTCTGAACAACAGATCGTGAGTCCAGAAAAATACAAATGAAGTGACAGCAGTGTTTACAGTGCTAAGTCACTTAAATGAGAAGATACCTTATTTTAAGTGACTACTGTCCTCCTTTGTTAACTTGAAACCATCTGGTTCTAAGCATGTTTGACAGAAGGACAGAGGCTACAAGGAGACTGAATACTACCAGTTTTATGAAAATCAGAAGCAGGAAAGAGGCAAAACTTCCTCCTGCCCTGCAGGAGAGTCTGCAGCATGCACTCAAGATACATGCAAGGGTTGTCCAGCCAGTGGGGTGGACATCACTCACAAAGTGGCCTGGCAGATGTGCTCCTCAGCATATGTTCTGGGTGCCCTGCCCTTAGCAAAGGAGGGAGGGAGCTGGAGGTGCTGCAGGTAATGGCCAGAGGGAAGCACAAGGAACTCTGGAGGGAGCAGTCCTAGCCGAGATGTTTTGGAGGGGGAGAACACGAACCAAAAGGGAGCCAAGCCTGTTGCTTGTTGGATGACTTGTTTAATTCAGATACACTCTGATCTGTCACCCGATCCAGAGGTATTTCAACAGTGAAGCGTTGCTTTGAGGTTAAAGACTGCAACTAAAGGGGGAAAGACAGAAGTTCTGTTCTTTATCTAGGAGGTGTGAACTTGATGAACCGATTATAATGTCTGTGTCTCATATTCTTTCTCTCTGAGAGAAGGAATACATGTGTGCTTCAGAGGGGAGCTGAGGTGCTTCATCCGTTTGGAAATGATTTTTCTCCTTTAGGAGACAGATGCTTTACCTTTTCCATGAAAAGCTGTAAATGTTTCAGAAACAATTAAAGAAGCTTCCTGACATCCTCTTGGGTGAGGAAATATGATTGCTGTGGGAAAACTGAGTCAAAAAATCTATCATGTGAATATTTTATTTTAATAGTTAATGAACAGGGAAAAAGAAAGCATTACTATAAAACACATGAGCAAGATTGTGGAAAACTTGGGCAGAGAAAGGGACTGATAAATTCTGTCTTGATTGACATCTCTTGAAGGTCAAAGTGTCTACCCAGTGTATGAGGCAGTGTTAAATTTGCTCATGGTGTATATATATAATCAGAAGACTTTGCCTCTTAGTACTACTCAATTTCAGAATACATGTACTGCATAGGGCTGGCTGGTAAAGTAGAAGTAAATATTTTGAAAAGTGAATACATCAAAAGATAAGCTTTTGGTTTCATCAGCAATAATATTAGTATTTTTTACATGAAAACCTCAAATTATTTTATGAACAATACCTAATCACCAGATAGCATGCCTCTTCAGGAGATCTCCAAAGGTCTTGATCAAAATATACCACACCATTACACGGTGTTTGTGCATAATGGCATTTCTTACTTGGGAATTTGGAAATAGAGGCACAAAGAAATTATGTAGGTCACACACCAAATGAGTGGCAATTGAGGAAGAAAAAACAGATGTCATTACCTTCTCCTCTTTTTTTTAACTCAGAAGATCAGTGGTCTTGCAAGCATGCACATCTGTTTTCAGTTTAAGCTGATTCTTGTTCTTGCAGGATGTGTGATGCTTCAGATGGTCCAGTTGTTTTGACTCCCTCATCCCAAGAGCCAAGGCATCAAATCAGTTACTCTAGGCTAGTGTCACTTCTCCACTAGGACAAGCCTCCCTTTTTCCATCTCTAGATTATAGGCTGAACACATACCAAGGAGCATATTAAACTGTGTTCACATTGTGGCAGATGGATACTTATAGGATATATATGGATATTTATATGTATCCAGATGCATATGGATACTTGAGTACTAATATAAAGTTAACTCTAATACCTGTGGCAGTTTCTTTCCCCCACTAGACTTCTGTACATTTATATTATTGTATAAATGCATCTGTATGTCAAGCATTCTATGAAAGAAAAAGAGAAACTTCAGCTGGTAGGAGATTAAACATTTATGGTGAGAAAAGACAGGGCCACCCATAAGTATTGGGTATACACTGACACTAAATGATTATTTTAGATTTGTTTTCATGTTTGTTTTTAGCTCAAGATTTTCAGAAATCGGCAATGCCTTTATTTGATTGCACTGCACTCAATGTGAGGTTTACCATACATTTAAGCTGAAATATGCCAGTACTGGATATTGTGAAAATCCCACTCCTACACGTACCCACTTTCACTTGTGTTCTTGAATCAGATTTGGGAAGTAAATGAACAGAAACGGGCATTATTATATATCCCAGGAGAGCTGGTACTTTCCAGAATGCTGTCTGTATTTCAGAATTGCTGTGCTTTTAATTGTCTTGCAGCCCAGCTTGTCTTTGCATCCAGTGGGTTTTCTCTCTGGCCTTG